ATGGCCCACAAGCAGATCTACTACTCGGACAAGTACTTCGACAAGCACTATGAGTACCGGCATGTCATGTTACCCAGAGAACTTTCCAAACAAGTCCTGAAAACCTATCTGATGTCTGAAGAGGAGTGGAGGAGACTTGGTGTCCAACAGAGTCTAGGCTGGGTTCATTACATGATTCATGAGCCAGAACCACATATTCTTTTCTTTAGACAACCTCTTCCAAAAGAGCAACAAAAATGAAGTCTATCTGGGGTCGTCAATTAAATCTTTTTCAAATTTAATGTATATGTGTATATAAGTTAGTATTCAGTGAATACTTGAAAAATGTACAAATTGTTGATCCATACCTGTGCATGAGCTGTATTCTTCACAGCAACAGAGCTCAGTTAAATGCAACTGCAAATAGGTTACTATAAGGTGTTTAAGATAAAATTTCTTCTAGTTGGTTTTTCTCTTAATATAATTGTCTGTTTGACTTTACATGTTACTTTTGTTAAATAAAGTTTGTATGTTGCATTTATAGAAATAAATAAATAAATTGTCTCTGACTTTGGTCTCTAACTTATACATAGTCTTTTAACCATAAGTCGTTCTATTAATGGAAATGAAAAAACATGTTTTAAATTTTATATGAATGATTACTTTTCTTTTTGGATTGTTACAGTAATATATATTCATAAAGTAACTAGAAGTGAATACATATTCATATAAATAAACTACTGTTTAGATGAATAAATGGGGATAAGGAACAAATTTTCCTTAAAGAATAGTCTCAAATTTTATATATATACTCATATACTCATATATGTGCATATGTATATATACACATCTATAATAGGACCCAGATATAGATACATCCACATGCAAAAAAATAATAATTTCATACTTGGAGTTCCAAACCAATACTACGTTGCTTATTGTATTGTTAAAATTATCCCAGTTTTGGTTGTTGAGAGCTTTTACAAACTGACTCCTATGCTGCTTCAACATACCCCCATACATTTTTTTTTTTTTTTAGCTGTTTGGCTTTTGTTGTTGCTGTTGTTGTTGTTGTTGTTTACTTTCTGGCACTACCAGCATGATGTGCCTTAGTGCTAGAAACAGCCATTTCTTCAAGCAGACCCAATTTCTTTCATTGGAAAATGGTACCTATTGCCTTTGAACATTGGTAAAAATTATTTTTGTTTTTTAAGATTTTATACTCAAGGGGCGCCTGGGTGGCTCAGTTCATGATCCTGGAGTCCCGGGATCGAGTCCCGCATCGGGCTCCCTGCTCAGCGGGGAGTCTGCTTCTCCCTCTGACCCTTCTCCCTCTCATGCTCTCTGTATCTCATTCTCTCTGTCTCAAATAAATAAATAAAATCTTTAAAAAAAAAAAAAAAGATTTTATACTCAAGTAATCTCTATACCCAATGTGTGGCTTGAACTCACAACCCCAAGAGCAAGAGTTGCATGCTTTACCAACTGAGTCAGCCAGGTGTCCCTGAACACTGATAAAAATTATTAAATTATTACAAAATTAAAATTATTTCAGAATTCCATTATTCTAGAACAAACCTAAAATTATTACAGAATTTTTTATTTTAAATCAGCTGGCTACCTGTGTTTGGAAGCTAGACAAATGAGATTAGATGTGCTAGGTGCTGTTCTACTAGTCCTAGACATCACTGATTATATTCAGATATATTCTTAAGAAGTGAGTAAGCACTCAGAGACTAGAGATTGTCTTTTGGGGGCCAAATCTTAGCTCTGTGACTTATTTTGGCAAATTTCTCTTTTCCTCTCTTCCTCATCTACAAAATGTCTCTATTAGAGGGCTACTGTGAGAATCAATTGAGACAGACCAAGAACAGTGCTTAGTACAGACTAAATGTCTAATAAATGTCATCATTGTTGTTATTGAATCTTTACAAATAAGTGTTATTTCTTCTGTGCTTGACACCCATTATATTTTTTAATTATTTGTGAAAGGAACAATACTTTTCAAACCTAATACTTTCTCCAGTTATATCTTGTGCTTGTATTTAGGTTTTTGTATAGTGTTTATGCTTGAAATGAGTTCCCCATTCAGCAAGCAGCACCATGAGTTTCCTTCAGAGTAATAAAATTAGGGGTGTCCTATTTTCACAGGGCTCCTGATTAGGCTAACTTTCCCTGGAGGGAATTGCGGCTCTCCCAATGCCTTGGATTCTCTTTGTTGAGTCAGCTGACTACCAGGGCCTTCTGTCTCAGCTCAGAGCAGACAAGGGGCCCTAACTGGCAGATTCAGCACTCTGATCCCTTGTATTTGATGATTGTTAAATGCAACTGCAAATAGGTTACTATAAGGTG